CTGCCCTGGTTCAGTCCCCACCCCTTCCGCTCTGGCCTTCCCGGGCTGTTTTCTCTGGGTCTCCCCCGCCCCCTGATTTGTGCTCTCTCCCACCCGTCTCCCCCAGATCTCTAGGTGGTCCAGGTGTATACCTGTGACCACTTCCCTCCCCTGTGTACACCCCGAGGCCCATGGCAAACCCCGGCATCTGTCCCCAGGAATGTGGGTTCAGGAGCTATCCCCACCCTGGGGTCCTCCGGCCCCCTGGTCCAGGAGGGGTCTCTACCTGCTGTCCCAAGGCACCTGCGGAGGGGGCTGCAGATAGCAGGTCTCTTAATGAGGTCTCCTTCACTTTCTAATATTGGTTCTCAGGTTTTTCCTAGAGAAGACAAAAGTGATACCATGGCGTCAATTACTGAGCTTTTAAAAAGTACCCTGCCAGACATTGCACAGGGTCCCCTTGCCTGTTCCTGCCACCCAGGAGGTGGCCTGGCTTTGCAGGGAGCCCTGTGCTCAGGCCCTGGCCCCCAGTCCAGAGGCATCGCCCCCTCCACCCGGCTCCTTACTCTTCTGCACCTGCTCCTCCCTCGGGAAGCCAGTGCCGAACGTTCTGATAGAAGTTTGTTGCTCGGCTCTGCAAGAAAGTGCTTTGAAAACCTGAACATAATGCTCCCTGTTAACCTATCCTCCCTCTCTCTCCTCCCGCAGAGGTGAGTGAGCCAATAGGCACTTACCCCATTTCCCACACGGTCGCCACCTGCTCTGTCCACTTCAGTAGCCAGAGCCACGTGTGGCTGTTCAAACGTAAACATGTCAAGTGCTTGGTGGCCCCTGTGCTGGTGGCTGATGTATTGGAAGCCCGGACCATAGAATATTCCCATCCCCAAGGACAGTTCTCCTGCAGGTTTGCTGGAAGGAGAGAGGGTGAAGGGCGGAGTGGACAGGGGGCTTCGAGAGGGCCATTCGTCCCCCGTGCTTCCGGAGGGCCCCCGGGGCCGGGCTGTGCTCTGGGTGCTCGGGACAAGAGCACAGGGCAGTCCCTGCTCGTAAGAGACCTGCCTTCTCGGGGTAGGAGAAGGACACTAGGTAATGCTGTCGCCCTGGTGACAGATGGTGGTTGAGGCGACAGAGAGAAATACAGCGGGTGAAGGGGATCAAGAGAGGGTGACGAGTGCCCTCCAGGCAGGGTGGCAGGGAGGCGCTTTGAGCAGGCGGCCCGTTGAGCAGAGCCCTCCCTGTATGGGATGAATGAGGTCAAGGTCATGTTGGAGAAGAGCTTTCCAGGCTGAGATAATAGTGAGACCAAGGCCATTGGTGGGTCTGCTTGGTGTGGTCCAGGGCCAGCAAGGAGGTCTGTGCAGCAGGAGCAGAGCAGGAGGAGGGGAGGTGTGAGGCCAGAGGGTGAGGAGGGCCCAGGAAAGGCCCCACAGGAAGAGTAGAGCCAGTGGTCGGGCCTCCGGCTGGTACTCTGAGTAAGATGGAGGCCATGAGAGCAGGCACGTGACGTGCTCTGAGCCGTCCTATTAAAGCATCCCTATGGCAGGGGTGAGAATAGAGCACAGGGCAGCGGAGGGAGCCAAGAGACCAAGAGAGGAGGCAGGTGGAGACCAGGCAGGCGATGGAGACAAGCTGGACAGGGCGGTGAGCAGTGCTGAGTTGTGGGAATGTTTTGAAGGTAGAGTAGAGGCAGTGGGATTTGCTAGGAGTGGGTGTGGGTTGACAGAGAGGAGTCAAGGATGTACTAGTAAGTGAAGACCTGGGCCTGAGCAAATGGAAGACTGGGGAGTCCTCAGCTAACTCGTGGAAGCCTCTCACAGCAGCGCCTCCTGCATCAGCACCTCTGTGCTCAGCTGCCCCTCCTGCACGTATTTGCTTTACAAGCTGTGTTTCTTTTTCTTTTATAAATATACTAAAGGCTCGATGCACAAAAATTTGTGCAAGAGTAGGCCTTCCTTCCCCCGGCTGCCAGCACCAGCTTCCCTCCGGGACCCGGGACCCGGGCGGCTTCCCTCTGGCCCCAGCTTCATCTGGAATGACATCCAGCCTAATTAGCGATGGAAGACTGGGGGTGCCTTCAGCTAACTTGCAGAAGCCTCTCACGGCAGCGCCTCCCTGTCTACCGCCCTCCTGCATCAGCACCTCTGTGCTCAGCTGTCCCTCCTGCGTGTATTTGCTCTACAAGCTGTGTTTTTTTTCTTTTATAAATATACTAGAGGCTCGATACACGAAAATTAGTGCAAGAGTAGGCCTTCCTTCCCCCGGCTGCTGGCACTGGCTTCTCTCTGACACCCGGGACCCAGGCTTCCCTCGGCCCCAGCTTCGTCCGGAATGACATCTGGTCTAATTAGCATATTACCCTTTTATTGTTAAAGACTAGAGGCCTGATGCACGAAATTTGTGCAAGAGTAGGCCTTCGCAGCCCCGGCTGCCTCAGGCCAAGGCAGTAGCCCCAGCAGCTGCCTTGGCCTTTGTAGCCGTGGCTTCATCTGGAAGGTTGTCTGGACAGTCGTTCCACTGTTTGGCCTTTCGGTCGATTTGCATATTACACTTTTATTATTATAGACTAGTTCCCCGGTACATGGATTTGTGCACATTGACAGGAAATTAATTAGAAGGTGGCCGGCTGGGTGGGACTGGGCTAGACAGACCGGACACACCCTGGAGCCAACCTCCCGTGGTCCCTCCCTGGCCGGCCACACCTTGAAGGGCGTCTGCAGAGTGAGTTATAATAAAACTAATATGCAAATGGTCGCCATGCCCTCACGCATAACAACCGGTCAGCAGGAGGCTGTGTGTGCAGCAGGCATGCACTGGTGGGTGGGGCTATGTGCGTGACTGGCTTCATCGCATGGAGCACCTCTCGGTCCCTCCCCCAGCACCTCCTCCCCCTGGCTCCCCCCGGCTCCCGCGGAAGTGGCGGGGGGGGGACGTTGAGCGTCTACGTAGTCAGTGCGTGTCATACGTACTGGCCGGTTGGCTGGTTGGCTGCTCATTTAGCCTTTTATATATATAGATTTTTATTGATTTCAGAGAAGGGAGAGGAAGATAGAAATATCAATGATGAGAGAGAATCATTGATCGGCTGCCTCCTACTTGCCCCCTACTGGGGATCAAGCCCACAAAGCAGCCATGTACCCTGACTGGGAATCGAACCGTGACCTCCTGGTTCACAGGTTGACGCTCAACCACTGAGCCACGTTGGCCAGGCCAAGCTGTGTTTCTTAGCTGGTTGCAGGATGCTGTGTGAGCATCAGAGGACTCGCCAGCCAGGACCCTGCGTGAGGGCTCAGAGACTGGCTGGGGTGCTGGCATGTCACAGAGCCGGGAGCGTAGCACAGGGCAGAGGCCTGGAGGCTAATGCTGCTATGTGTGCAGGCGTCCTCAGGAGCATCGCTTCTCCTCTGTGCGTCTTTGTGCCCCTGTGCAGCGGGAGGGCAGCGCTCTGGAAAGGGAGTGTGCGATGTGGAAGGATCATAGGGTGTGGAGTCACACAGGCCGGGGTAGAGTCCAAACTTCCTGCCTGTGCAAGGCTGGTACTCTGAGTAAGATGGAGGCCATGAGAGCAGGCACGTGACGTGCTCTGAGCCGTCCTATTAAAGCATCCCTATGGCAGGGGTGAGAATAGAGCACAGGGCAGCGGAGGGGGCCAGGAGACCAAGAGAGGAGGCAGGTGGAGACCAGGCGGGCGATGGAGACGAGCTGGACAGGGTGGTGAGCGGTGCTGAGTTGTGGGAATGTTTTGAAGGTAGAGTAGAGGCAGTGGGATTTGCTAGGAGTGGGTGTGGGTTGACAGAGAGGAGTCAAGGATGTACTAGTAAGTGAAGACCTGGGCCTGAGCAAATGGAAGACTGGGGAGTCCTCAGCTAACTCGTGGAAGCCTCTCACAGCAGCGCCTCCTGCATCAGCACCTCTGTGCTCAGCTGCCCCTCCTGCACGTATTTGCTTTACAAGCTGTGTTTCTTTTTCTTTTATAAATATACTAAAGGCTCGATGCACAAAAATTTGTGCAAGAGTAGGCCTTCCTTCCCCCGGCTGCCAGCACCAGCTTCCCTCCGGGACCCGGGACCCGGGCGGCTTCCCTCTGGCCCCAGCTTCATCTGGAATGACATCCAGCCTAATTAGCATATTACCCTTTTATATTGTAGACTAGAGGCCCGATGCACGAAATTTGTGCAAGAGTAGGCCTTCGCAGCCCCGGCTGCCTCAGGCCAAGGCAGTAGCCCCAGCGGCTGCCTTGGCCCTGGAGCCAACCTCCCTCGGTCCCTCCCTGGCTGGCCACACCTGGGGCGGCGCCGGGGTTCGAAGGGCGTCTGCGGAGTGAGTGGGGTCCCTCAGGCAGATGGGGTCCCTCGGCCTGGCCTATGGGGATCAGGCTGAAACCAGTAGTCCAACATCCCCTGAGGGGTCCCCGAGTGTGAGCAGGCACTCTGCAAAGTTGTTGTTGCTCGGCAGTTCCTGCTTTGAGTATCTACCAGGTAGACACTCTCATGCCCTCAGCATAACAGCCGGTCAGCAGGAGGCTGTGTGTGCAGCAGGCATGCGCGGGTGGGTGGGGCTGTGTGCGTGACTGGCTTCATCGCATGGAGCACCTCTCAGTTCCTCCCCCTGCTCCCCACCCCCTGGCTCCAGCGGGTGGCGGCAGCTCCCACCTGCCTTTCTCCCATGGAAGTGGTGCGGCTTGCTCCCGCCGGCTCCAGCAAAAGCGGAGGCCTACTGCATGCGATTTTGCTCGCTGGGCCACTAGTATTTTAAATAAAAAGAATTAGGGTATATAGAGTGATGGGCATACACCTAGCACCAGGGAAATAATGGCCATTATTATAGTTACTGACCTCACTGAGAGCTGCCCGGTCTGTGATTCAGAGTATGTAGGTGAAGGGTGTGTCCTTATGGGGGCCAGGCCTGGGTCAGGGGGCACGTGGCAAGGGCAGAACGAACACATTGTGAGGATGAGGGGCGGCAGGGCTGGCGTCTGGTGGGTGAGCCCGGGCTCTCTGTTGGGATTTTCCAGGGGAGCCATGGCAGGGCTGGAGGGGGCCAGACCTGGGCGCCTTCTCTCCGTGGATGATGGACCAGCTGACGGGAGTCCTCCCCGTGCACGGCGACCCGCGTCCACTCCGTCACCCCTGTGTGGGCTGGTGTGTCCCGTGGGCCGACACCCAGGAGGCGTGAGCAGTCATTAATGCCTCCGGCTGAAATGCCAGCCCTGGTTTGTGGCGTCCCTGTGACAGCGGGTGTTGCTCCCATGCACCCAGACCAGGAAAAGCCCGCATTCCTCTTTCCTCCTGGGTTTGGGTTCCAACCCTTTGCTGCTCTTTACAAGAAATCTCCAAGGTTACGTAAGGCAGTTGCTGGACTAGCAGAAGGCATTGCTTTACCCCCTCAAAAGTGCCCCTTGCACTTTTCCTAAATGCGTGCAGCATGACATGGTTTTTGTTTCCTAATAATTTCTGCATCTCCTTGTAGCATGGAGACATTTCAAGAGACACTCAAGGAACTTCTGAGGACGGAGTGGTTTTCCAGAAATGTGCAGTGGTGAGTGCTCGGAGGGGGCTCACGCGCGGAGGGAAGATTGGGTTTTGCCCACATCATCGATTAGTGAGGTGACGCGTTTAAGAACGGGAGACCGCAGGGCTACCTGCCCAGGTCTGGGCACTGAGTGATGAGCTGGCCGACGAGGGATTTACATCTTATTTCACCAGGGCTAAGTTTTTTGGTGACGATGAAATTATTGTTAGTGAAAATCCACGGGGATCACTTAGCGTAGGTTTTCACATGGCTGTGGTGCTTGGCAGTTTAAAGAGTTATTTACCATCTTCTAGGTCTTTAATCCTACGAGACGGCTTTTGCATCATCCTGTGGTGGGGCCCGCAAGCCCACTGTCAGGCTCAGTGGTTCAAGAGGTTACGTAAGACAGTTGCTGGACTAGCAGAAGGCATTTCTTTACCCCCTCAAAAGTGCACCTTGCACTTTTCCTAAATGCATGCGGCATGACATGGTTTTTGTTTCCTAATAATTTCTGTATCTCCTTGTAGCGTGGAGACATTTCAAGAGACACTCAAGGAACTTCTGAGGACGGAGTGGTTTTCCAGAAATGTGCGGTGGTGAGTGCTCGGAGGGGGCTCACGCGCGGAGGGAAGATTGGGTTTTGCCCACATCATCGATTAGTGAGGTGACGCGTTTAAGAACGGGAGACCGCAGGGCTACCTGCCCAGGTCTGGGCACTGAGTGATGAGCTGGCCGACGAGGGATTTACATCTTATTTCACCAGGGCTAAGTTTTTTGGTGACGATGAAATTATTGTTAGTGAAAATCCACGGGGATCACTTAGCGTAGGTTTTCACATGGCTGTGGTGCTTGGCAGTTTAAAGAGTTATTTACCATCTTCTAGGTCTTTAATCCTACGAGACGGCTTTTGCATCATCCTGTGGTGGGGCCCGCAAGCCCACTGTCAGGCTCAGTGGTTCAATAGAAGGCGTTACCATCCTAGCCAGTTAGCTCAGTGGGTAGAGCATTGGTTCCCGGACTGAAGGGTCGCTCCCCATTCAGGGGCATGTGCCTCAGTTGCAGGCTCGGTCCCCGGCCCTGATCGGGGCATGTGCAGGAGGCCACCAGTTGATGTGTCTCTCTCACCTCTGGGTTTCTCTCTCTGTCTCTCCCCCTTCCTTACACTCTCTAAAAATCAATGGGAAAATACCCTCAAGTGAGGATTAACAAAACAAAACAAGCAGGAGGCCTCACAGAACTCAGCAAAGAGGTTGTGCTCAGCAAAGGAAAACACGTGGGGCAGCGTTCCGGAGGGATAGCTGCCCGCTGCCCTCTCCTGGAGAATTGAATGGACAGCATTTAATTTTCCAGTGAAGCGTGACGTCAGCCAGGGATGCTCACCTGAGCCTTGGTGTCCCGGATTTTTATTGGGGTGGGTCAGCTACTGAGTCTCCAGCCCCCCCAGAGGTCATCATGACACAGCGTGGCCCGTGGCCCCACCAGGAATCCCACTGTGAGCACACACTCCCTGTTGTGGCCCGAGGCCACAGGTATCCACAGGTGTGTGACACCCCCTTCCAGGCGGTGTTCCAAGGGCGTTGGAGGTCAGTCCCGCAGGAGCTGGTCCAGGACCAGCCTTCCCTTGGGATGTGCAGGGTGGGGCAGCCCGAGCCCTCTGAGCGAACCCTTGTGCACAGCCCTCATCCTGTCCCGGGCCCGCGGGTGTCCTGTGCCCTGCCCCCTACAGTGAGTGCTCCAGTCCCTCCATGTCCTAGAATGTTTTCCCCACGTGCATGCAATCTTAAGTGTGCATGTGTGTACTTGTGTGTATCTGGACCCACACCTTCCTCTTCCCCCTACACAGGTGCGTGCACGGCACAGTCTCCGACCTGCTTTCTGCACTTGTATCCCTGAGTCACTTTCCTGGGGACATGCCGAGGAAAGGAGGGGTAGGAAGGGTGGCAGATGAGTTAGAGAGGGGAGCAGGGCGAGCTTGCAGAGCCCGGGTGGGGAGCCCAGCTGTTGGGCACTGGCTGCTTCCAACAGCCAAGCCAGACGTGGCCGGGCAGAACCTGAAGGGGCACAGGCCTGCAGGAGGAGCCCAGCTCGGGCGACGCTGGAGACCAGATGGCAGGCAGAGGCCCTGGGCGGGCTCTGGGGCCAATTCTTCAAAATCAGGGAGTGAGACAGCCCACTGTTTGCTTCTCGCGGTGGCACCCAGTGTCGCTCTCCCCAGCCTGACTTTTGTTCTGTGCCGGGATGCTTTCTCTACGTTTCTCCGTAGGAACGATTTCACCACATCCCAGGGTCCCGGTTACTGCAAACTGTCGCCAGGCCACAGCTTGGCTGTGCCAGGACTCTCCCGGGCCTCTGAGATCAGCCTGGGGAATGTGAGACCCTCATGCCCTCTGTCCTAGGGTCGTTTTGTGCCATGTGCATGCAAGTATGAGCGGGTGCACACATGTGTGTGCCCCTCCACACATGTATACACATGTGCATGCGTACACGGACCTCTGCCTGACCTAACGCGCCCAAGTCGAGCCGGAGCACCATTTTAGGGAGTGGGCCTTGTCATTCAGTCTGCCCTCCCTCCATCCCACCGCAGGTGTCGGGGCCGAGCGTGGCGCAGACGGCCCAGGTGCATCTGCTGGTGAACAACACCGCGGCGCCAGGGGCCGCCGACCTGTCGGATCTGCTTTTGCTCGACAACATCACCGGCCTCGCCGTCAGGGAGTCGGCGGGAAACAAGACGTCGGCAGGGCTGCAGGCCTTCAGGCGGCGGTTTCTGCAAGGTGGTGGCAGCGGGGCCGGGCAGGGAGGGAACGGCAGGCTCGCGGAGCACGGGGTCGCCCACAGGCGTGTGCTTAGACACGGCACACGTGTTCTCCCAGTTAGTCCTCCCGGCGGACGGGCCGTCAGAGGAGGGGACCGCCTTCCAGTATCAGCATCTGACAGGCTGGATTTGTTACTTCACTTACAGAGAGAGAGGATTTGGGGAAAGAGTCTTTAAAGTATTATATATATTCCATTCTTTTTTTAAAAAGTATTTTTATTGATTTTAGTGAGGAAGGGAGAGGGAGAGAGAGATAGAAACATCAATGATGAGAGAGAAACATTGATCAGCTGCTTCCTGCACGCTCCGCATTGGGGATTGAGCCCACAACCCAGGCATGTGCCCTTGGCCGGAATCGAACCTGGGACCCTTCAGTCCACAGGCTGATGCTCTATTCACTGAGCCAAACCGGCCAGGGCTATATTTCATTCTTATTTCAAACATGAGCAAAGATGGATTTATAGTGAACCCCAGTGCATCCATCACCCACATGACCAAAATTGCCATCACTCAGTAAGCGGAGCCCATTCCGGGATATGCCGGAGAGAGGTGTGAGTACAGAGAGATGGAGCCCATGCTAGGCTGGTATAGCCTGTCACACAGGGAGGCGAAGTTGGAGGGCATGCGTAGGTAAGACCTGCAGGCCTGCTGCCCCTGCAGGCCCTGGCCTGGTGCTGCTCGCTGTGCGCAGACCCCACTGCCTGGCGTGTCCACACGGCAGTGGGTACCCTGTCACCAGGGCCCACAGACCTGCAGATGCCTTCCCTTAGCGTGGATGGGATGCTGGGATGAACACATCCCGCCTGGATTCTGAAGCAAACAGGAAGATTCTAGATTTCCTACGAGAGTGAGCTGAACACATCCTGCACTGGGAGACAGACCCCGTCTGAGGCAGTGCTGGGGGGGAGGGGCAGGTATGACATCACAGGAGCAGAGAGGGGCTCCTGCCCCTGGCACCTGCCCACAGCCCCTCCCAAGGGAAAAGCCAGGGCACTAAGGGTGGGCATGCTCTCCCCGCTAACAGGTGGGGGAGTCTCAGACTCCCCTGCTGCCCACGTGGGCCTCGGTGGCCACCTCCTCTTGAAGATGTGGCTGTCTGGTGGTGGTGGGTGTGGCTGTCTGGGGATGTCAGGTGTGGCTGTCTGGGGGTGTCGGGCATGGTTGTCGGGGTATTGGGCATGGCTATCGGTGATGGGACATGGGTGTCTGGGGGGTGGCGGCACGTGGGTGTCTGGGGTGAGGTGGGCGTGGCTACGTGGCAGAGGCCCTGTCGTGACCCCCATGTGCCTTCTCTCTGAGCAGTCGGAGACTCCTTCTCAGTCAGCTACACAGCCTCGCTGGAGGCCGGGGACCTTGGGCGTGGAGAGGTCCTGGTGCTGCCGGCTCTGCTCACCTTCCAGAGCGCCTCCGTGGTGCGTATGGCTGCGTCGCTCTGCTGTCTGCCTGCTCACTGCCCGGGAGGTGGTTTTAGCAGCATCCACACATAGGGCACACGATCTGTTCCTCCCTCCCTCCCTCCCTCCCTTCCTGCCTTCCTCCTTCAGTGACATCAAATTCTGGGTAAGTGCACAGGCCCAGGCATCTCACACACTTTGCCGTGAGCCGGGGCCCCTCGCCCCTCGCTATGACCCTGAGTGATCACTGAACGCCGTGGCCTGCGGCAGACTTAGGAGGATCTCTAATACTAGATGTTGATGCTCCTGCCGTGCTGTGCGCAGAACCAGCATCCAGCCAGTGGCCTTCACCCTGGTTGGTTTGCGGGAGCTGCATGACCAAGTGCCGCGGATGAGGTGGCTTAAAACAGCAGCTTACGCCCTCACACCTAGAGGCTGGAGTCCGAGGTCGGGGTGTCCGCAGGGTGGTTCCCTCTGAGGCCTGTCCCCTGGGTCTTCACTGGGCCGTCCCTCTGTGTCCTCCCCTCCCCATAGGGCCGTCAGTCCCACTGGACAGAGCCCACCCTGATGGTCTCATATGACCGTAATGACCCCTGAGAGGACCCCATATCTAATCACAGTTACATCCTGTCTCACTGGGGTAGGGCTTCACCCTGGGGATTTGGGGGGCGGGCACGATTCAGCCCATGCATTCACCTCTCTGTTAATCCCCGTGGGCGGTGAATGCCCTGGTTGTGTGGCGTGTGCCAGGCGCTGTGCACACCCTGGGGGCCCGGGAGGGGGAGGTTCCGTCCTTGTCCTCAAGCAGCTCACGTGCTAGTTGCTTTGGCCATTTAGTTCTGGCGTCAGCGCCTGGAGAAAGGATATTCACGGGCGTGGGAAACAAGACTCAGAGGGGACTGCCCAGGCCACAGGGCAGCGGCAGACTCAGACCCACAGCTGCCGGGCCCTCGCACCCAAGGCTGACAGGCCTGCGTGTGGCATTGCTGCTGCAATAGGGGGAACAGCCCAGGTAAAGTTAGATCAAACGGAAGATTCCAGAAGGGAAGGACCAGATACAAGAAAACAATATGAAACCGTCAGAAAAGACAAATCTCTCAGAAAATAATTCAGTACAAAATCAAGGACAGAGGACAGAGAAGAGTAAAAAAATAGAAATAAAACGGCCTAGAACAGTGGTTCTCAACCTTGGCTGCACATTAGAATCACCTGGGAATCTTTTTAAAATCCTGATTTCTGAGCCTCATCCTCTGGAAATTCTGTTTTTCTGTTATGAGGTGAGGC